ATTATGATTCCACATAATTGAGTTCAAAGTAATTGGATCAAAGAAGCAAGAGCGTTAGGTTATCAAACATTAACTAGTGTTTGGTTTGCTTACAATCTAATTTGAGTTTTGGTTGTCACTTTGAATTTTTATAAGTAAAAATAATATTTTCCAAGCTTTAGGATGAGGAGAATGTCACTAGAACTTCGTAGGAATTTTCGGTGAAGTTTTTGGATTTTTAATGTATTTATTATGATTTTTAGGAGTGAAATCATATAAAATTTACATTAAACCAAATTTATGGACAAGTGGCAGCTTCTCACAGGCGCCACCAATCCTTTTTCTTCCTTTTTATTTGTTGCCAATTTCTGCCCAATTTTGTTTTCCTATGGCGCTTTTTTTTTTCACGGAAATTCTAATTTCGCGCTTTACTGTTACCCAAACCCTAAAATTCCCACACCACTCTCAATCTGCCTCTCTCTCGCATTGTCTCCCTATGTCTCTCTGTCTTTGGTTCTATCTCTTTCGGCCACTCTTCCTCTTTTGCTCGAAGATTAGCCAGCAATCTCAACACTCCCTCTCGTCATCGGTCTGTCTCTCTCTCTCTTAGTCTCTCTGTCTTTGATTCTATCTCTTTTTACCCAAACCCTCACTTCCTTTCTCTCATCTACAAACTCTCCAACTCTCACAAATATCTGAGTCCAACCCCAAAATAGCAAGGTTGTATATGCACCCTCCCTATCTTTCGTCTATCAATGAGCATGACTTGGAGAAGTGATTTTTTTTCCTTTCTATATATATCTGAATTTGGTTTTTTCTGAGTTTCAGGTTTCGATTTTTCCTTGATTTTGGTATAAATTTGTCCGTTTGAGTCTTGGAAAAAGGTAAATTAAATTTTGTAAATCAGTTCGCTGCTTCATTGCTTTAATTTTGTTAATTGTTAATTGGTTTTTTTTAATGTGTTGTTCTGTTTTTCATTTGAGAGGTCTATTGACTCTTTCTATTGCTATAGGCCACAAAAGATGTCAAGAACAGGTACTGATAAATATTGTGTTGGTGAAAGAATGTTGGATTGTCAATAATTTTGGTTGTCCTAACTTTTTTTCGATGCCATTGTTTTCTTTAATTGAATATGAAAGATGAAGCTGTGGAACTCTAGTAGATAATGGTAAATTGGGTGTATGAACGACTGACAAATGAAGCACGTGAGATGGTTGGGATATCTCTTTATAGGCTTTGTTTTATGATTTGAGTGCTGCTGTATTTTAGTTTTCATTTTGGCTGCTGTCATGTTATATTATAATGTTTAGCCCTGTTTTGCAGTCTTAGTTGATATGCTGGTTAGACTAGTAAACAACTTTTTTCTCTTTGTCAAAAGGTTTGCCTGAATCTGCAAGGATCTCTCAATATGGGAGGATATATATTATTCTCTTTTCTTTTTATCTTACACAGTAGTGCACTTAAAAGACTTTTATAGACTTGTCTCTCTTACACTAGCACATGTTCTCTTACACTAACAGTGTGTTTCTGGAATGCTATAATATTGTTGTTTGTTGATCGATACAGGTTAGTGACATGAGGAGCACTCTGTGATTACCATGTTATTTCTTCAACGGTTCTTCTATTCTATGTGTACTCTTTTATTATTATTTAACTAGTTTTGTTGCCTCAGTTCTTTATTTGATCCATTTTGTCATGTTTTAGGTATGTTATTAAACTCTTAATCGTTTTTTTTAACCTCATAAAGATCAATTTGTGATTATCATGATTAAAATCTTGAGTTTAAGTTTGAAATAACATTGAAATAAGAAGCCACTTTCTGTTATGTGTAAAATTTTGTTCAATCAGTTGTGTCTTTATTTCAGTTAAGGCATGTGTTATGTTTTTTGATTCCTCATAATATTTTCTTTCATCCAAAAGAATATTTATATGTTTTCAATTCAGGATCATAACTATTTGTATGTAGGTGTGCTTGAATCATGGGATAAGGTTTTGCATTTCAAGGAAGCCATATTTACATACAAGTCACAGGAAGACCTGAAAAGCTGCATTCAAACACCTTATTCGGTTGGAAGTGGGCTTCGAGGACCATTGATATAGGATATATCTTAGGATTGTAATGAGTTTTTGGAATTTGTTACATTGGTCTTTTACTAATAATAATATATATTATTTTTCGGGCAACAATTTCTCATTGGAAATCTTTTATATATTTCTTTTACAAAATATTTGTACATTCCGACGACTTTTTACTCTCGATAATTGCTATAAATGTCGTCAGAAAAACATTTTTTTCGACGCACTTCCATGTTGGAAATGCACAATTCCGACAAATTATATTGATCACAAATAGTAATTTAGGGTCGGAAATATTATTTTCGGCAAATAGTCATTGGTCGAAAATATAGTCGCAAAACAAAAGATCTTGATAAATAATTATTTCCGACAGTTGCATAAGTATTTGCGACCAGAGTTATGGTTGCAAATGAATTTGTATCATTGTTTTGAAAATGCATTTTCGACAGAAATTTAAGCAATATCGATGAAATATGGGCGTCGAAAATACATTATTTCCGACGGAGTGGTTGGAAAAAAACTATTTGCAACCAGCGTTTTTTCGACGACTTCCGACGGCAATTTGCCGTCAAAAAAGGGTATTTTCGACTGCAAAACACCTTTTCCGACCATAAATCACCCTCGCTAAAGGCATTCTTTTTTGTAGTGAACTGCAATGCAGGTTTTGCAAAAAGTGCAATGCAGAAACTGACTATACATTCACTAAACCATATCTAACGTAAGCAATCGTCAACTGAGAAGGAATGTTCATATCACAGCCTTGCAAGTCTTCCTATTATGCCCAGTAACACTACACCGACTGCATTTCAATGGCCTTTTAAATTCACCAACTCGGATAACTGGGCAGCGAATACCGTAACGTAAAACAACCCAACTGCAAACCCTTAAACCTTAGACACAAAGTCTTCAAAATATCAACCATGGATGACTCTGATGAAACTGAAAACATCATGGTTTCCGACTTATATGTGCACTTGGCAATGACACACACCTCCATTAGCCTTGAAAATGCAAACAAAACAACAAACAAAAACAGAAAACAATTTAAATCAGTAAATAATGTACATGAGCAGTTGTAAAATTCCAATAGACTTCCAAATATTAGTCTGAAATCGAATTATGAAACAAGAAACTGCAATGCAGTTTCTACCAAAACTACAACAAACAGATGTAGTTTATGACAGAAAATCAAAACAATTCGAATAGAAACCAAAAGGGAAACCACGATAAAAGTACTAAAACTAAATTCCATAAACATACAAGTCGATATAAACGAAAACAGGTTCTAAAGTACTCATACCTCAAAACTTAGGATTGCCAAAAATCTCCCACAACCAAACAGCAGCTTAAAATCAAATCTGATCACGAAACGAAGAATATAGGGTTTAGCATTGAACGCCACAAGATCGCGCCGCAAAATCGAGCCACAAAACTGAGCTCGAAATACCCGAACTAAGGAGAACAGAAATCACCCAAAACTGACAGTCATTCAGCATGCAAATCGAACGAAAACGTAGCAGAAAAAAGAAGACAGAAAAACGAAGAAAATAAAAGCAAAACCTACCAGAAAATTGAGCTCCAATGGCAGAACCCAGCTCTGAAAAGAAGAGAAACGAACGAAAACGAACGAAGAAGAAACTCGCGCGTCGTTTAAATGTTCAGAGGCAAAAGCGTCATTTAATTTGTAGGTTTACAGATGGGCCCAGGCTTTTTAAGAGAAAAGGGTAGAATTGTCTTTTTATTTGTTATTTTTAAGCTGGCCCAACGAATTTGGGCCAGCCTTTGGCCTAATCTAAAATAGCTATTTTTTTTAAGTATTAAAACCCAAACTAAATACCTAATATCTCACTTACTAATTAGTAAACTTAATAATGTCTAATACCTAATTTTCCTTTAAATTTATAAGCTTATCATCATCATTCTTTTACAATTTAAAATTCAGTAATGATCATGTGAATGTTTTCGAAGTTGGAATTTTAGAAAAGAAGAAAGAAAATTTGAAGCAGAGTTTTTGAAATTACACAAAAGTAGTAGGAATGGCCGACGTTGAGAACCGGACAAAATCACACCCCTCACACATAAATTGAAAAGCCAATATTAATCCATCAGGCGCAATTACTATCACGTTATATTAATACATGTTCACTAGGCCTATAGAGGGCTCTTTTATGTCACGTTGTTTTTCTCCACGTCACATCTTCATGTAACGAATTATGGAAACAACTTCGAGTTAAAATCACTTCCTGCAGTCTCTACCTGCTACCGCCATCTGTTTGTTTTCCGTTGATTTCGTGAACGTAAATTAGGCGACCAATAACAAAAATCATCGCTTTAATAAAAAAAGAAACCCCCCACCCCCTCTTTCATATTTGGTTTGTTGTGGTCTCTCCGTGATTTATTTTTATTTTTATATGCATGCTCTCCTTGGTCTGGCCGTTCTTTCAAAGCCTTAGCACCTTACATGCTAAATGAGTTACGCCTACATCAACTCACATATACCTTTTTACACAAGAAAGATACTTTAAAAAATAATAATAATAAAAATAGACACATGGCTTTGGAGCTCTAGTATAAAGCTCCCATTGTATCCTCCTATTCTTTCATTAAGACTAGCTACCACTCTCTCTATATCTCTTGAAACTCTCTGTTTGTGTGACATTTCTCTCTCTCCCTCTCCCAAATGGCTGAAATGGTAAGTGGTCTTTGATTATATGTATGTACTTGTAGTTCTCACCTCCACCTTCACTCAACCACCGGCTTCTGTCAGTACTAGTTTTCTTTTCTTTTTGATTTCTGATCTCAGGGGACTTAGTGTTTGGTTTTATGACACTTTGGTCCGTTCCCAAGCTTTTCCTTATGGGTTTGAACTTGTATTTAACTAATTGTTTATCTTTCTTTATTGAAGATATATATGATGTAATTTGGTTTTCTTATTCATTTCAGAAATGAATAATCAATTTGATGATGTTTCTGCCAAAGCTGAAGATGTGGGAAGAGGAGAGATTATCACATGCAACCTTTGTTCTCATGGAACTCAAAACAATTTGAAAATAACAAAGGTTGATATCTCATCAGAAAATGGTCCACAGGGACCCAAGTCAAACTTCTTTGTGTGCACAAAGAAAAATGCCAAAGGAAGTTCAGTACAAATCTGAATTTGACCACCACAAGCCCAGATGTGGCAAGAAGCCCAAGCCTAATTATGTAAGGCACTTTCGAATTTGATTGTAGTTTTGTTGCTACGTTAGTTATTTTCCCGTCATGTTTTGCTCTTCTTTTTCTGCCATAACATCACTAAAATAAGCAAACTTAGGTGTGTTGAGATGGCCAGCTGGAATGAACCTTTAATTTTCCTCTTCTTTGACTTCTTTTTATTTGTTTTTTTTTAAAGCTCACTCACTGTTAACACTACTAGCTTGTTTAATTTTAATTGTAGGGTTGGAGCTTGCAGGACCTGTCATGTCAAGAAGGATTTGGGTTTCTCCACAAATTCTAATAAAGGCGAAATCTTATTATCTTTAAATTATGAAAGACTTATGGCTTGATGTTATTGTTGTTGGTGTTTGAAGAATTTGCAAACCTAAGTATGAGTTTATGTTTAATTTTCTTGCATGTGTTCCCTAGAATGATGTGTATCGATTTGCTCTTGCAATTTAAAGTTTGTTTGGCTTGGAATGATTAATGCTTTTGATTTAAATAAACAGTTAAGGCTTTCAATTGCATATCCATGAATACACAATTACTGGTCTTTGCTCTAAGTTCAGTTCGCTTTGCTCTAAGTTTAATTCGCTTTGGTAAAACAACAGCAACACATGTCAGCAACTAATGAATTTAATGCATTTGACCCCAAAAAAAAGTGAGAGAATCATTGTCGATTTCATGACATTGTCAAATAAACGACTGTGTGGGTCAAAGCTTTTCAGTAATCCCACTAAACGTTTCAATAACCCACTAAAGGATGGTAATAATTGTGAACCAAAAAACAACCCCCACAGCTCTGCTTCCAAAACCTACCCAATTCCTAAATTGACAGCAAAGCCACCAATCCAAGCACTAATTGTGGAAAAAAAAAAAAAAAATAATAATATCGTTTTTTCTTCATTGGAATCTGATTCCAAAGTTTTAGTTGATGGTTAAATTCAGTAATGATGTGAATGTTTTTCGACGTTTGAAATTTAGAAAAAGAAGAAAGAAAATTTGAAGCAGAGCTTTACAAGTTACACAAAAGTACTATTTATTGATGTGGGTACTCACTTACACACGCCCCAAGGCCCGCCTCTGATTTTGGTTAGCTTAGGAGTTACCTTATATCCTTAGAGTTTAGTTTGAGAATCATCGATTCACTACGAAGAATCATTACCAAATTGGAATTTGGTTAACAAGGGGTGAGTGATTCGATCTGTACCCTACATCCACAAACCACTGTGCCTTGATCTGACAGTGACACATGTGTCTATGGCAGACACAAAACCCACATATGTTATGTTTTTGCATGATAGTTTGGACCTAATTAGAACACTCCACCCCTAATTAAACCTTATCACCGCCAGTAATTAAACGCTATCCGGAAAGTGAGTAGAGTTTGGTCCAAGTCGTGCTTTTTCAAGACTATAATTTCAACAATGGGAAGATTCAGGACCTAACTAGACTTCCATTCCCCTAATTTTGGGGTTAACCTTTCAAGCAGTGACAAGTACACAAGTACAAAGACAAGTGTTATTGCTTCTGGCCCCCTCACAACAAAGACAAAGTGATTTCATTCCCACTAATATATTAATAAAAATAAAAGCAACCACCTTCTTGTATAGGACTACGTGAAAACCAAAGGTTGAGTGATGAAAAACAAAATGTTATTGCATGCTCATATAGTGAGAAGACGTGCACATGCCCTATGCCTTTTCACGTCATGCAATGCATGCTTTTTTTGCGCAATTGATGAAGCCAATATTAAATACATCAGGCGCAATTACTATCTCGTTATTAATACATGTTTAACTAGGTCTGAGCACTGATTGATTCGGATAATATAGGACTTTTTTATTAACCAAATCAAAGTTTTTAGTAGACTAATTTATCTTACGTTAATCAACCATTAAAATCTTTAACCATTCGAATTGGTTAACCACTTATTTTCGGTTCAAATTAATTCAAGAGGCCGATGATACCATTTAACAAAAAGAAGTCACGTTGTTTTTCCCACATCACATCTTCGTGTAACAAATTATGGAAATAGCTTTAGTTAAAAGCCTTGATACTTATTTATTTGCATTAGATTATTGATACTTATTGGATTCCAGCCTTCCTTTTTACTGAACTTTTTTCGAATAACCACTTGACATGAATCATGATTACAATCACAGCCTGCTGTCTGTCTCTACCTGCTCCCATCCTTCTATTTGTCCGTTGATTTCGTTAATGTAAATTCTCCAAAATTTGGTGGACCAATAACAAAAATCATCGCTTTAATAAAAAAAGAAACGGGAAAATTAAATGAGTTATGTCTCACGCCACCGACTCACATGTGCCTTTTACACAAGGAAAAAAAAGAAAATTAAAATAGAACACGTCACACATGGTTTTGGAGCTATATAAAGCTCTCATTGTACCCTCCACTATTCTTTCATTAAGACTAGCTAGCACTCACTCTATATCTCTTGAAACTCTCTATTTGTGTGTGACATTTCTCTCTCTCTCTCTCTCTCTCTCTCTCTCTCTCAAATCACTGAAATGGGTAAGCGATCTTTGATTATATGTCTGTACTTGTAGTTCTCAACTCCATCTTCACTCGACCTCCAAGTTGGGGAAGAAGAGTGCCTCATGAGAAGAACCCTTGCGGCTCATATTGATTATTCTATACACAGAAGCACAACCCATAATTTCTCTTTTCTCTTCTTTCAATTTGTTGATTTTGCAATTCTTCTGTGATGATCATCTACTTTAGGAAGTTTTTCTGTGTACTACCAGACCAGTGTATAGATGAGATATACATATATATATATATATATATATATAATAGAATGAATTTTGAGGAGAGTTCTTCAATTCTTGGTTCATTTTGGTTCATTTTGTTTTGAACTTGTATTTGACTAATTTGTTTATCTTTATTTATTGAAGATATATATGATTTATTTGTTTTCTTATTGAATGCAGAAATGAATAATCAATTTGATGATGTTGAGGCCCAAGCTGAAGATGTGGGAAGAGGAGAGATTATCACATGCAACCTCTGTTCTGATGGAAACATGAACTCAAAACAATTTGAAAATTACAAAGGGTTGATGAATCATCAAAAAATGGTACACAGGGGATCCAAGTCAAAATTCTTTGTGTGCAGCAAACCAAAAATGCCAAAGAATGTTCAACAACAAATCTGAATTGAGAACCACAAGCTCAGATGTGGGAAAAAGCTAGCTCAAGGCTAATTAACGTAAGGCACTTTCAAATTTGATTGTAGTTTTGTTGCTACGTTAGGTGTGTCGAGATGGACAGTGGGAATGAGCCATTAATTTTCCTCTTTTTTGACTTGTTTTTATTTGTTTTTTTAAAGCTCACTCACTGTTAAACTAACTAGTTTGTTTAATTTTAATTGTAGGGTTGGAGCTTGCAGGACTCAGGACCTGTTATGTTAAGAAGGATTTGGGTTTCTCCGCAAATTCCTAATAAAGGCAAAATCTTGTTTTTATTTACGAGGTTAATGTTGTTGGTGTTTGAAGAATTTCCGAACCTATGTATAAGTTTATGTTTAATTTTCTTGCATGTGTTCCTAGAATGATGTGTATCGATTTGGTACTTGCAATTTAAAGTTTGTTTGGCTTGGAATGAATTAATTCTTTTGATTTAGATAAACAGTTAATGCTTTCGTCCAATGAATACACAATTAATAGTGTTTGCTCTAAGTTTAGTTCGCTTTGGTAAAGGGACTTGTACCCCACACTTTCTGTGGAGGGAAAAATTATTACATCTTGGAGATCTTGGTCCAAGTTTGTGACAACCCCCACGCTTTTTACTGCATTTTTTTTAAAACCTTTGCTCCCACAAAAGTCATCCATCACATCTACAAGTCGATAATTCTAATTTGCGGATGCGTTTGGTGACAATAATAAAATTATTTCCCAAAATTCACACAATTTTCAAGATATTCATTCCACCATATAACTTGTTGAAATTGGACAATGATACTGAAGCACTTTTATTTGCAAATTAAATTAGCAAACAATAATAATTAATTAATATTGCAAAACTCTAGCACTTTTATTTTGCAAATTAAATTAGCAAAACAATAAATAATAAATTAATATTGCAAAATTTCTTAACTTATTCACATTTGCCTCAACACTAGCTTGTTGCATGTATATGCTGAGGACATCGTGGTCCCACTAATCAATCTTTATTTCCACTCATGCCCAAATATTCAAACATTCCGTGGAAACCCACATGACCAACAAAGAATCACCTTGTCTACTAGCTTAGTAAAGGTTACAAATGAGTTATGTTTTTCACCACCTACTCACATATGCCTCTTGATGAAGAAGATGAGTGGGGTACGGCCCTAGGCATTTGTCTTTTTGGTTTTTCATCTAGTTCCCTTGTTTATATTTTCTGGAAAGTGAAAAAGAACGAGAAATCTTTTTGCCTGATTTATGTGGGTTTTAGTAGTTTTGCTAAAATCACCTTATACTAATCCAATAATTGTGCTATGCACGTCTGTGGTGCATTCGGGCATTGATTGCTGAATTCTTCTGTTGGGTGATGCTTAGACGTTTAGGTTGGTTTGGTTATTTTTATTTTTGTAACGAAATGGAAAGCTGAAGCAGCTTTGTTAGTATTAGATGTGGGTTTGGCATTGCATTTTGAATTGGTTAGCTACATAATTGCCTAGAGGATCAGTAACTTCTTGTGATCAGTAATTTGTTAGCTACATTATTTTATGTCTTGTGAGTTTTGCTACTATAATAGTGAGTTTGAATGGTCTGATTGTGAATTTGCTACAATGTTATGAATGTGGGGTCGAAACTTGGCTCATGTACTTGATAGTATTTTCTAATTTTCATGCCATATCGTTAAGGAGTACCATTTTGACTTAGTTACTGTGGATTTCATATCATCGAATGCAGCTGCTTTTAATCTTTATTTTCTATAGGTTGACTATCAATTT